ATTTCTTCTAACCCATGGTCAGGTCCTGTTAACAGCACCCTATTAGCAGCTACACTTTGGTTTCTGCTTCTGTGGTACCTTCAGGAGTGCCCACCTCTTTCACTTCCTCTTTGGCCATTTCTGTGGAGGCAGCCATGATCTGACATGGTACACCCAACTATCCAGCAGCTCAAGCTTCAGGCATGGTAGTTATGCAACCCTTCAAACAGCATCAGTGTTTAATTTCTAAGGCTGCCAAGTAATTACTCAGTCTTTGCCTAGTCCCACGATAAACATATATCAACAAAAATGGCACACATATTGGCAATGATGTCTTGAGGGGAGGTTGAACCCACTTCGATCAGAAGTGCCAACCATAACTCGTTTTTTGATCTGGCCCTTTGGCTAGAGTTTTGTATCTTCCAGAGTTGCCTTGTATAAGGTGGCCTTATCGACTACCATTTGATACTTGAGACAAAAGTTCTTTGAATCCCCAGTACTTTCTGGCTTCCTCAAGTCGCTTTGGGTCCTTTTTCCCAAACAAACATTCCAGTTACATAACTGGTATATTAAGGTTACATTACATGTTCATTTGCATTACCTGTTGTTACCTTAGCCACATGTGCAATGTATTACCTTTCTCTGAAGGATTATTTTTCATTGTTACTGACCTACAAATATCGCCAGTTGGAGTGGTTTTCGCTTTATCATTTTACCTATGTCCTCAGACTGGTTCTTCTTTCCTAAGGCTCTGTCAGACAGGAAAGGGGATAAATCCTTTACACCAATTCTTCTGATCACTATTTCTCACTTTTATGACCGATCAGGTTGTTTGGCATTATTTGCTGCAAAGCAACTAGGCTATCTGTGCTAGACTGATCAGATTTTGATTGTTTGTTATGTCCATTGTGAGTTTTGTTGCCCACATTAGCCTTTAGAGATGCTAGAAAACTTTTTCTTCATTGGGATCATTTCATTTCCTTGGATTTATCTCCAGTTATGTTGACGAGATGGGTACGGAATTAATCCATATTGCTTATTCTGAGCTCCCTTTGATGACAAGGAGTCTTCTGTGAGTCACATATAATCACATTCGTTATATTTCTATGTTCTTAGTGGCCCAATTGAACTGTCTGCTGCAGGACATTGTGTGGGCTGGTATGTGGTCTTCTCCCAATACTCTTATCTCACATTATTTACATAATCTGGTAGCATCTTCATCTGAGGATTTTCGACTACCCCTCTGTAGCCATCTTAACTATTTCCAATAGATTATACAGAGGGGTGAGTATTTTCATTGCAACACTTCTCTCTGTTGCTTACCTTGTTTACACAGGATCTCTCTCTGTGGTGAGTGTTGCCAAAGCAGCATGCTTTTATCAAACCAATTCCACACTAGCAATCACTAATTCAGTATACTTTATTTAGGTTGCAACATGCTCTATAGAAATAAAGTGTTCCATAACTCCACCTAGAGGTTGACCGGGTGGTATTGCTGTACTATGCTGGACCACCACACATGGACTGTCATGAGTAATTGAGTTGGTTTGTTTTTAAAATCTAGGGAACTTGGTCAGGACTCCCAAATGCACATTACCAATTCTACTAGTGGAGTTAGGGAGTCCTTATCACACCCATTTTTCAGTCACTGGGATGATGGTAGACAGGAGCTTTTTCTCCAGTGTTTCAGTGAATTTCCTCCATTCTTGGAGAAGAGGGCAAAGGTGGAGGCCCTCCTACTTGGGTCCCTGGATGTTTTTCTCAGATATCGGTAGGAGAGGCACTGGCCTACTTGGAAGCCTAATCATAATATCAGTTCAGATTTGATGCTCGGCTATCCAGTTGGGTTGAGCATGACCCTTTTTTTATGATCAATGCTGGTTCAGTACATTGTTCACAGAAGAGGGTCCATTGTCTCCTCATGATTCCAAACACAAAGTGGTCCCATCCTAGATTTTTGGTTGCAAACAGTTTGTCTCATGTCCTTTCCATAATTCTGGGAGTAAGTGGAAATTACCTTGTCTTCAAGATTGGGGAGTGAGGATGAGTGATCATAATTCCAGACTGGAGGAGTTCTGTTTCTTCAGGTTGAGTAAGGTGTATAAGATCCCATCATTCCAAGCCTGGGGTGTTGCCTTTTGGATTTCTTCAGGTTGAGGAGAAGGTTCACCTTCTGGTGGCTCGCAACACATCCCTCTATGGCTATAGGTTGGGATCCACTCATAAGAATATATATACATATGTATATATATATATATTTTTTTTTTTGTGGTCCAATTGCCCTAGCCACCAATATTGGATATAGGGACCATGGCCCTATAATTCCAACCCTGAGCAGTGTAACCTTAGATATCTGGTTGGGGCCTGGACAGTAGTGATGATATATCATGTCAAATTTCACCCACAGTAATGAATTAAGTTCCAGGTTATAGCTGTAGTGTGAGGAGAGGTAAGGATGTTTTGAAAGTTAACATTTTCATAACTCAAAAATGTATTTCCACTAATACTAACCTTTTTTCACACTCTTCTGCCCTTCCTCCACAATAAGAGCAGGTGTTAGAGACTGTGTATTGAGTTAGTCTTGAAAAAGTGATAACATTATCTGAATGGGGTGCTTATATACAGTACCAGGATAGAGGGTGCATTGATGTAGGTGGAGAGTGTCACGAAACAAATAATGACAAGTGCGATTAAGTGCGGTATAAAAAACTGGAACATGTGAGAAAAAAATCAGACCAATGCTTAGATAGGCAAAAGAAGAAACCCTGACGTTTGAGTAACAGCTGTAGTGTGAGAGAAGATAAGTATTATTGGAAATACATTTTCGATTTAAGAAAAAGATCACATATGTACCATCAATGCTTCCCACACTGTCTTTCATTGTACATATTTACTCCTGTAAATAGATTTGGCTTTTCTAAGACTTTGGTTGCTCATGAAGGTTATCATTCTTTCTCTCCTATCTTCCTCACTTCTATGTTCATTTGGACCAGGATCATTTTCTGTGTCTTGTTTTTGTTGTGCAGTGTTATTTGACACAAAATCTGCTTTTCAGGGTTCCTATCATTATTTGTTTTTGTCTTTGGACCCCTCTTCATTCAAGGACTTATTGCCTCCTACCCTTATTGGGTGGGTTTGTCAACTCCTTTGGTCAGACCATACCATTTCTTGGACTATCATGGAAAAAGCTGACACCAGGGAAGTGATTTCCCATTTCTTTGGCTCTCACTTTTCAAAACAGGGTTTTGTAGTCATCCATTACACTGTCTACAGAAAAAAAAACATTTTTAGGAGGCATTCAATGGGGATCTGTGCTCTTCTCCAGGTCCCCCCCCCCTCTTCAGGAGGAGCATGGGAGACCCTTGCCACATACCAATTCCTAGTCACTGAGGTGTTGGATCATGGAGAGTTCCTCACTTATTGTGTGTGGCACAATATAGTGTGCAATAAGACAGTAGGGTAGAACTGGTCGCCCCTCAAACAGCTAGAGGGCCCTCCTCCTGCAGCAGGACAGGTTTGTCATTTCCATCTCTCTCTGTGTGGAGGTGAGACACACACAGTATTCTGATCACACCCTATCCACACTACACTTCTGGCTTGCCAACCACCTGTGTATGAGTGAATAGTTGTTCAAACAAAAATTTCTGTCCACCTCTGTGACACCTAGAGCTCTTTTACCTTTCCTCCCTCTTCCATCCAGGTGAAAAGTATACCCTGATCGAGACCGGATGCAGTATCTTTATGCGTGTGCCCCAATGGAACTCCTGCTATCAGATGTAATACTTCATGGGCTTTCCCATCAGGTACTTTCAGAAGGGAGCTCATGTAGGTTTAATGTTTGTACTATTTTCTTCACCATTTCAGTGTGAGATTCCAGCTATCCTGTGTACACTTTCATAATGCCTCATCTACAAATGAAGTTATTTTGAGCCCAATTGCTGAAGGGGAGTTACTGCACAAAGAGATTGTGTCACCATCCTATTGGTGGAGGGCTATTGTGCAGTTCACATTAAACATGTGATTTTTAGGTGGGAGTTAGCTGAAGGCTAATGGCATGCACATCTCATAGGCAAATGTGTGAAGGATCAAGCTATTCTGTGTGAAAAGGTAGGTATCTATCAGAAATATATTTTCAGGTAAGGAAAATGTTAACTTCTGTAGCATTAATCAGGATTTGTTTAGGTTTTTTTAATGTTTTTAAACTTGAGATATTATTTTTGAATAATTTGATTACAATATGTAAAATGCTATTCTAGTTTTTAGGTTGAGTCAGAAAGTCCCTTCAGGCACTGGATTGTTCTATAAGAAATTCTAAATATGTAAATGTTAATGACAGAAAGACTGATGATGAAAAAGTAACTCTGTGAATCAATATCCACCTCTCATAAGTACCTAACAAGTCTTTGAAAATGTAATTTTTTGAATTTCTCTTAAGTTATTTTGGATTTAAGATTATTCAGATATGCTCTATTCTTTCTCTTATGCTGCTTTCATTAAGAGTATGGTTATGATGTTTAATGTATCTGTTTTAATTATTTTTAATTTTGTATTATGATATACTTTTTCATAAATATTATTTTGTATTGTTAGCTTAGTATATGGATTTTAGACTAACTTAATTCTCCTTAGCTGGCTCAACAATAGGAGGGTACATAATTGATGAAATAATGCATTCTAATCAGTATAAGTAAGAATATAAGAAAAGTATATTATATGAGCTATATTCATTACTAAGTCGATTTCTGGCTCTGGTCTCTGTTAGTAGCCTGATTTGATCAGGAGTTTTTCTTTAGGAATTTTTTATGATTTATTAGCATTTAAATTTTTTTCTTAAATACCATCCCATGTAATTTCTTACACAGTAGGTGTTCCATAATAAAGTTATATATGATTATATTGTAGATTTTTCAGTATGTTTCCTACTGGAAATTTATATTTTAATTTTTAAGAACTTCTGAAAAGTCGCATCTAATAAATAAATAAAATGTTTTACATTTGTTTTAAATATTGAATTGTTACAGGTTTACTTGTCGAGCCTTATTTGAAAGACACAAGTTGCTTTTTGCTTTTCACATGTGTGCTAAGTTGTTAGAAGCTTCAGGAAAACTTAACTTGGAGGAATACAATTTTTTCTTGAGAGGAGGCATTGTAAGTTCTGTGAAGATTTATACATCTTATTTGTGATAAAATAATGAAGAACTTTGTGCCAGGACTATTTTAGGTTCAAGTACAGGGGTTGAGAACTTCATATTAAAATAATTTTGGAATCTAACCACATTGTTATAGTCCATGTTGCTACGTTTGATAATGCTCTATCTTACAGCCATGCATCTTGACAATAACTCTACAACTTAGTTTCCTTAAATGGCTTTGTTGTCTGTAAGAAAGTTTTGTACACTTGACTTGTGTTGCTTTTTCAGATAAAGATCCTTCTTTATTATGTTGTGTACTGTTATCTTGAGTCTGTAACAGCTCTTGTTGTTGATATTTGTGTTTGTGGATTTTCACCTGTTACAAGATGCCACACTTTGCTTATCATGGCTGGGGTACAGCTTGATGCAGGGCTATTCTTAGAATGTCCTAGTACCTCAAGTTGATACTTATTCCTTTGTTTTCCAATGCCATTAATAAAAGGGAGATCTCATTCCATGAATTGAACATATCCATACAATCTGAGTATTTGAATATTGTACATCAGAAATAGTTGTTGCATACCCTTCTCAAAAGTGATCAGTTTTTGGTAGCATCATACTACCTACAAGTACCATGCAATGCCAAAATTTAGTTCTGATACATGTCATTCCACCACAACCATATATTGGCTATGATTGTTGTGTGTTTACCAATCTACATATTCAAAATCGTTTTATTATAATGTACTCAGCCCTCTGTATTTTCTACTAAAATTTATTTTGGTAATTATTTATAGTCTTCATTAGAATATATCAATAAGCTGAGAAAACTGTTATTGAGATGACTATGGTTGTGTGAACTTGAGTACTAATTTATTATAACAGATACTAAGATACTAATTCAGTGGCTTGGACTATTAATTTCACATAAAGCAGACTATCATATATATATATCTTTAAGAAAATAATACGTTTTAAAAACTTTGGGTTTCAGAAATGAACAAACATTTTAATCTCTTTAAAATATTTAATTAGTAATATACAGATGTCAATGTTGCAATTATTGGTGAACCATGAATAAATTAATGAATATTACACTTTTCTTCTAATTCAGTATTAATTCTAAATGTGTATATGTGTGTAAAGTACAAACATGGCATGTACAGAACTGTCTGATTATTCAGGTTATCTTACATAATTCTCTTCTGTTGCATTTTTACAAAATTAATTAAAATGCATAGAGTGAAAACTTAAATTATGACCTGTGTATTTGCAACATTTTACTTGTGGTAGTTTTATGAAACATAAATTGAGATTTAATGAACCTGTCACTCTAAAATTAAAAATGACAAAACTATTATAGTTTAGTGAAGATATTCTTAGATAATAAAATAAATTATGCTAGAAGATATCTCATTTATTCAGTCTTAGTTGAAATAGGATAAGGTCTAAAATTGTAAGACTATAAAAATGTAATTTATTTTTGTTATAGTATTAAAGGTATCAATATCATACATTGGGTTTGATTATGTAAGATTTTGAGATATACTTTTTTTTTAATCATAAGTATTTATATCTATTTGACAGGTCTTGAATCATCAGGAACAAATGGACAATCCCAGTCCACACTGGCTAACAGAGTTAGCTTGGGACAACATAACAGAGCTAGACAAACTACCTACTTTTGTTGGTATTGCTAATTCTTTTGAGCAATATCCCCAGGATTGGTATCAGTGGTATATCAACCCCTATCCTGAAAATTGTTCGCTTCCAGGTAAACTTTGCATGTCATTAATATGTACGAAAGACTGTGGCATAGCCAGGTACTAAATTTTGGGTGGGCCTGGAGTTACAATGGATAGGCAAGAAACAATACATATGGCATATTTGGATGAGGTAACCACCAAGCAGTCTTTTATTGGGTGAGCTCAGGTGGTGAGTGGGTGGACTGCGACTCACTCATAACTACATCACTGCTAGAAGATATTGTTTAGTCCCAAGATATATGATTCAATATTCAGTTCAAATATCAGAAAATGTGTAAAATAATTTATGGTGGTGTTTATATCTGCTTTGTTTTTATAATAGTTGCAGGTTACTGTTAATAATTTTCTCAATAAAGCTTTATGCAATGTATGAAAATATTTTTACATACAGCTTTACTTGCTATTAAACTCAGCAAAACTCTCCACAAAGCTTTAAAAGATTGGTTCTTTTCATATAAACAGGAAAATTTCAAACAGTCTTCCTGATCTTCTTCAGATAATGTTTTCATAATATATTCCAGGTAATATAATTTCTCATATGATGTTTTCTGTTTGTGTTTCTTTAAAAAAATGCTAATGGATTTGAACTATCTGCTGGATGAACTTGTATGTTTTAATTCATATTTTGTTTGATAAACTTCAAAATTTGTTTATTTTTTGATTCAATTGCATACATAGTTTTAAGTGCTCAGTTACCGATATTTTAAAAAATCAATCATATTTTTACCCCTTATGATTATTGTTTGTTTTTTCATTAAATGTTATGTATGCTTATTTACACAGTGCACAGTTCTATCACTGAATTAAAGGAAAATTTGTAATTTGTTTATTTTTTGTTTTAGCTGAATGGGAAAACACCTGTGGAGAGTTACAGAAGATGTTGATTGTGCGTTGCCTACGTCCTGATCGAGTTACTAACTGTGTTAAAACATTCCTGATCAACAGTTTGGGGTCCAGGCATGTGTCTTTTGTAAACTCTTTACAAGAATTATAAGTGGCTAGCTAGCAGACAAACAGTTATATCATATAACTTTATGTTTTACACAAACATCACAATGTGCATTAATATCTCACACTTATTACAGGTTTGTGGAACCTCCTGTGCTTGACATGTTGGCTGTGTTAGAAGATTCAACTGCTAAAACTCCTCTTATGTTTATTCTTTCTCCTGGTGTGGTAGGTATAATTTTGTTAGACTTTTTAAGCCAGTTGTTGGTCTGTCTCCATCTCTCTGTGACTACATTAGATTATCTGTTTTTGATTTCAAAACCTAATGATTTTTAATATTTTATCAACAATTATTACAAATCATTACATTTTGGAATAGATAATTTTGATAAAATACTGTTCATTTATGCCAGATTTTTTAAAATTCTATATTTAGTAATGTGTAATTAACTTAGCAGTTTACTTTTAAAGTATCTTTAATACTTATATGTACCCAACCCATTTTTTTGATGTACATTTTTAGATGCATTTAATATGTCTGATGATGTAAAAAAGACTTACTTCTATGAAGCATAAAATGTACTTTAAGCTTATGACATACAACTTTGGATGTTTACTACAGTATTATTAAATTTAATTAATTATGAATAATATCCCATTACAACACTTCTGTAATGTCAACTATCCTGTACATATACACATTTAAATAGTCTACTTTTCATGGATTTTATTCATTACTATACAAATTTTTATTTATTATTACATCAGATTGTTGTATTTTTACAGGGAAACCTCATACTGATCATTCAAGTACTTTTTGTACAAATGGAATGTGAAATTAAATATTAAATAGTCTTGTTTTACTCAGTTTTTTTCCTCAGATGTTTAGCTGCTTCATAAATCTTTCCTTTTCCAATTTTTTTAGTATATGTAAGTGTAAAATATGTTTGAGAAAAACTATCAAATTATTTTTTTACATAGTGCTTCCTACCAATGTTTATACTAAAGGTGATTATTCACTGCTTTTAGTAAAAGTAACAAGAACTTATAGTTTAATACAAAACAGAGCATTTTCTTTTTTTTTTGAAAGAATATTTATTTTTGAGATCCACTATATAATATGCACCATGGAATTACTTGCTCTGACAGTTCAATGGTCACTTTAATATTGTTTTTTCTTTATGTATTTAGTTTTGCTTGTGATTTAGTAAAGGTTACAAATATCATTTATAATGTATAATTGATGCAATTCACCTTTGACTGAAGACAGTGGTGTTAGATGTGGTTTATGACTACTTTAGAATATATATATATGTATATGCTACAAGTATAAAGTGTTTTATATAAAGATTCCTTCTCTTTCAAACTTAGTCATTATTTTTCTTATAGGATCCATCTGGATCACTACATCATTTGGCTAAAACTCAGGGAATGGATCAAAGATTTAGTTCACTTTCACTAGGACAAGGTCAATCCCCTGTAGCAACACAGTTAATCAAAGAAGGAATTAAAGAGGTTAATACTACAACTATATGGGTCTAATTTTCATTCTGTTTGCTTGTTATTTAATTTTTATTATATATATATATAGTTTATTTGTTTTTAACGGGTGAATGATCTCAAAGCAGATAATAAGGCATTACATGAGTTATTATTTTACATTTTGTACATGTACTGTGTAGCACGCATTTGCTCATTTAGATAAAAAAATGACAAACAAAACTACTAATTTTTTTAAAGATGAAACTAATGATTTTGTACAATGAAATGTTAAATTAATATTAATTTTCTATCAAGCAAAAAAAATCATTTCCTTTATATATATGATAAAAAATCTATATCTATACATATTTAAGGGTTGCAAAGGAATAAATAAAACATCATTGAAGGCTTATTCTAAAATAGTACTGTTTAGAAGATTATTTTGACCAGTCAAAATTGTTACAAAAGAAGTACTGTATGAGATTTATTTATTAAGATTGGATGAACAGTAGTCTTATTGCAAAATTCTGTAACATGTACTTCAAATCTTTAAGGAGAATTGTATCCTACTACCATAATATTACATATCACAAAAATTTACTAGAGTTTTATGATTTTAATAGCAAATATAAACTTGTGAGCTCATTTAAAAATTGTCCAAATGAATAGCATGTTAATTGTACTACTGGCAATTAAGGCTACTTCAGCTATCACTTTTTCTTAGAAACTGATGTTGTGCAGTGTTTTTTTTTTCAATTTATAAATCAAATATTATGCTTAGAATTAAGGAATGAATTTCTTACTTATTATTTTAAACAACTTCTGATAAGAAGTATTCTGTAAGAGTTCAGGAAATACAACGTTGATCCTACTTTAGTGATGCATGTTTTCCCCTCATTTTTTCATTATTTATATTTTTAGGGTAAATGGATTTTTCTGGCCAACTGTCATTTATCTTTAAGCTGGATGCCTCATTTAGAAAGAATAATTGAACATCTTCAATCTGAACCCATACACCAGGACTTTCGGCTATGGTTGAGCTCAGCTCCACATCCTGATTTTCCAGTTTCCATTTTACAACAAGCCATAAAAATGACAACAGAGCCTCTAAAGGTAAAAATTTTCTAACACAGTAATTGTGCTATTAATTATAGTATTTTGGCACTTTTGTATAAAGTTAAAATCATAAATAATATTCAACGTTAAACAGTTACACAATTAAAAACATTTTATTTAGGCCTATCTATGGCCTTCAAAAACTTGACGACTCTACATGTTTTGATGTTACACTCCTGAGGATGACGTTGTAACATCGAAACATGTAGAGTCGTCAAC